TTTTGGTACTGGCGTAGCGGCGGCAACCTGCATGTTTTCGATACAATGTTTCTTTTCGGCCTCCCAATTTGCCCACCAGAATTTACCTGAAGTTTGCTGGTTTAGCACAACGTGAAGCATGTCCCACATGCCCTCTTCAAGATACATATGATGATATTCGCAGAAACGGGCGCGCAATACCGCAGGGTCATTTGCCGATGGAGTGCGCAAGAACTTTTTGAACAACTCGAAAGCCTTTTTGTCCACATGAGAGCCCTCCAGAAGATGGTGAATCTCCAGATCGGGCTTGGGAGATGGGCTGGGGTTGGCTTTTTCCTCGGCATCGATCTGTTTTATTTTCTCCCCATAGGCCTTGACAAACTGTGTCATGGAGGCTTCCACCTTTGAGATGGCCTCGAGAAGTACATCGGGTGGGAGCTTCTTCCCCTTCATAATGGCATCTTTCGTCATGTTCAAAGTCGCTAGATACTTCCCTGGGTTGTTTCGGGAGGTCGAAATGACAAGTGAGGTCACCTTTCCAGATAATTGTGCCAGGCTGGCACCCTTGGCTGCTTCAGCGACCAGAGCATCGACCGATCGTTGGAAGAGTATGTCACTAATCACATCGTCAAGAACGATGTCGGAGAGTGGTGGGATGGGCGATTTTAGGATAGCCTTTGCCTTGAGTTTCTTGAGGGCGCTGGTGACACTGGCGGTAGTGGCTCCAGGCATCCTCTCCACCATCTTCAGCATGTAGTGCTTTGCAGCATCTTCAACCTTGATACATTCAAGATTGGCCTTGATCGTGTCTTCGTCAAGATTCAGATCAGGGTCGGCAGCCGCGGAGGGATTGTCAGAGGCTTGCATCTTTAACCGGAGGTTCATCATGACCTCGACCACGTTATTGCATGTCCTCGTCTTTCCATCGCCGGTGGTGACATCGACCGTGAATCCTTTGGCATTAGGTTTCGCGAGCATCTCTTCAAGAGCCTTGAAGGACTTTTGTAAGACAGGAGACATCGGGCCGTTGAGTTCCAGCACGCTTCGCAAATCTGTGATAGCGGTTTGGACATCATGTGGATCTGAGGCACTGAAGAAACCCTTCATCACACTAAGGGCTTGAGAGAAGGCGTCGGCGTTGGAAGTTGCCAAAGTGTTCTGAAGCACCGTCGTCAAGCTTGCCGGAGTGTTGGGAGTTGTGCGATTCCCCGTGGGGGCAGAATGCTGGTGAAGTTGTGAAAGCGCAGGTTCGGCATCAAGAATCATCTGCCGGAACTCGTTATTCTTCCTCTCAGCTTCCGCCATCTCAGAATTCGCTTGGTCTAGTTTCACACGAGCATCCGCCGGTGAAACTCTCCCAGCATTAACATCGTGTCGAATTTTATCCAGCCGTCCCCGAATTCTGCGCACGATGTGCTCGTTCTCCTTGGCGGCTTCCAGAATGGCGCTATTCTTGGGATCCAGCAGAAAATCTTTGGATGCCATAGGGAGTAGATCCAGCGCTGAGGTCTCCAACGTGGCGTTGCCTTTGTCATCCTTGATTGTCGGCGTGGAAGGCAGACTACTGCGAGTGGCTTTGTCCAAAATCGCATTTCTGCGGGCTCGCAAGGCAGCTTCCTCCTCATCATCCTTCTTGACACGCACTAATTCCACGTCTCTCTGCTTGCGCAGCGCGTTTTGCATTCTTTGCGACTTCTCGGCCATGATTCTTGCGTGGTAATATTTTATAGTGTCCATCTCCATCCAAGAAATCCCTTTCGTCTTGGCTCGTAGGCAAATTTCGTGTTTGCAAGAGCCTGCAGCACCTCTGGTCCTTTCGGCTCCCTTCACATCAACGTCCAAGCAGCAGGTCCCTGGACCCGTGAATTTGAAATCACCTCCTAGCTGAGATTTGAACAGCTTGTCAAGGGCTGTGGCATTTTCATCTAGCAAGGCTCTCTGCGTCTGATGTCTGGAGGATTTCTGCTCCAGTTCGTTTTTTTCCTTTTCCAGTTTTGCTCTTTCGTTGAGCAATTCGTTGTAAGTTCGTATGTCCTCGTCGGCCCAACCGTCAACATTATGGCCATCGGCGGCTCTCAAAGGGCTGGTCGGCCTGGGAACAGAGTACGGCTCGGAATGTAGCTCTTGGGGAGCGTCAGCCGTCACCGACTTGACGCTTTTGCCTTTCGGTTTCCCCATCCTCCCCAGGGCGAAAGTAAACAGAGGTGTTGTTGGTCACTGAAAATCCGGGCGGGCTGATGCTGGATGGTGTGGTAGAATATCGGGCAGGCCGGACTTTCAGCGTTTCTAGGTGGGGCAGCTTTGCTGCTTCAGATATGATGGTGGCGGCAACAGGATGTCGCCCAAAAGCCCAGCAGGGATTTACAATCGAAAGGCTATCGCTTTTCACCGTAGAATGATGTTGATGGCCTTGATTGTGGATATTCTGTGTGGAAACTCTCGACCGCTACGACCCCAACCAGCGATAGGCTTAGAAAAAGCCTTCACCACATCAGGGAACTCTGCATCACGATTTGTTGACACGGCAAAAGCTGGCTTGGATAGAGGCGCCCTCATGTTTCCAGGGAAAGTAGACTGCGGTCCCCAGTCCTGGAAATTTCGTAGTGGTCTATCGCGACCGCGTTGCTGTGTCGGAAGAGGTCCTACAGGTCAGGGCTGGCAGGCTGGGTAAGTGAATCAGACGCCGGGTGCAGATCCCAGAATAGCCACGACGGCAAGACCACTATCCTCTTATGTGTCGACAGGGCTCCAAAGGGACAAGATGGCCATCTCGCGATGGAATTGAGGCTGCAGAAGTCTTAGAAAGCAAGACAAACCAAGCTGAGGTTAGTTTGAAGTTCGTTTGCCAGGGCAAGTCGATGGCGATTTCTGCACGCGGACTTTAGCGGGTCTTGGCCCGGTGTCGGAATTATAATTTTCCGAGTCGGCTGTAACAATTTTCTGACAGCCACTGCCGCGACTATATGTGCACCAAGTAGGAATTCATATAATATGGAGATATAAGAGGTCATCTTGGTCTCAGAGTCAAGCTCGATCCGGTCGAAAATGGCCGATCTCCCGGTTGACGGAGACAATGGCAGCACGCCCGACGACAAGATCCATGAAATCATCCGTGCCTCAACAAACCACGACATACGGACATTACAAAGATATATCGATCAATATTCCTTTCCAGAATGTAAAGTCGTCGATGTCCAGGACCCCTTCACTGGCTTCTCACCGCTCCATGCTGCGATATCCGTCTGCGCCACACAACTCAATGGGGATTCTACTTCTCTCTCGCACAGTGAGGAGAGCGGAACCCGATTTCTCAAGTTCTTACTCGAGAACGGCGCAATCTGGAACCAGCTAGACAAGAATGACGAGACCCCAGGATGTATTGCCTACCGCCTGGGGCTGCACGATCTTTACCAAATCATGGTCGATGCGGGAGTCCGTGCAGAGATGGTCCTCAACCGCCTGGAAGGCTACGAGAGACTAAATGACGACGAGGACGGCGAGGATAACAATGTGGCCGAAGAGTCGCAAGGTCAGGACGATTCGGATGCCAACACGTCACACGAGGATGTTACTAGCTCAGTCTACCTCTCTTCGGCACTATCACTTGGCGATAACAATCTTCTGGACGAGCAACAAAACGGTGTCATGATGAGATGGGAAAGCGACATTATGCTCCAGTCCACCAACGCACTCTTATCAGAGCCAGGCTTGAAGATCCTGAACATTGGCTTTGGCATGGGCATCATTGATACACACATTCAAAACCATGCTAACAAGCCCACGAGTCACCATATTGTGGAAGCTCACGCAGATGTCCTCAGCAAAATGGAGAGTGATGGGTGGATGGAAAAGCCTAATGTGGAGGTTCACAAAGGAAAATGGCAAAACATCCTTCCGCAACTCATTGCAGAAGGCGAGACCTTTGACGCCATATACTTTGACACTTTCGCCGAGTCGTACAGCGCCTTTCGCGATTTCTTCTCAGAGCAGGTGATAAGCCTCCTAAGCCAGAACGGGCGCTGGTCTTTCTTCAACGGTATGGGTGCCGATAGGCAGATCAGCTATGACGTGTATCAAAAGGTTGTCGAGTTTGATTTATTTGAATCCGACTTTGACGTGGAGTGGGAGACAATTGAACTACCCAATCTGACACGGGAATGGGAAGGAGTTCGTCGAAAATACTGGAACATCGACCGCTATCGACTTCCAATATGCAGGTTCATGGATTGATTGATGAGCGAATCGGATGCCGTCTGTGCTGATCTCCATCCATCCACACAGAATAGCCAACTCATGAGATTCATTTCTGCTCGTGTATCAGAGGCGTGAGTCCGGACCTACACTCATCCATCGTTGGGAAAATATTGCTCTACTACGTTGAGCGTGAGCGGGATATTATGTCGACAACCGAACTTGACTGGATGAGCACGACCTTGTGATGCCTTTGAAGTCTCCTTTTAGGCCTGGCGAAGAAATGAGAGTTCGGTGCCATTGCCCCGAGCCGGTGGAAGATTCAGAGTTGCGAAAAGGGCATCATGGGAACATGTCTTTGTTCCACCCCGCCAATTACACCCCCATAAACCACAGCAAGTGCTGAAGACCATCCCGGAGCTGTGCCAGTCGACCAGTGGGAAGCCCATCCAGATGAGGCGTCCCTTTTCCATCTCGGAAAAAATCCCGCGTCCCACCCGAGCTGCGTTCGGTCCTTTATTGCCCCGCACTTTCTCTCCCTCTTTCTTTTCTCCCTCAATCGTGTCGGTACTCCACATTCGAGTGGTTCGAGGACAGTCGATGGGTTACCCATGAGACAACTCCGCGTGTCCGGAGAGGAGAAACCCTCGGGATGACGGCAGCGAGTATTGGTCACGATGTGTACGTACATCTTGTGTTGCGAGAGGGCCAGATGCTCTGCGATTTGCAACTGATTTGAAGCCTCCCCGATAACTATCTCGCCTCCAACTTCACCTAGGACCTCAAACCCATTCACTTGTCGAGGCACAGGAAACGTCCAGAAAAAAAAAATGGCCAAGCGGACAGCAATTGTGACGGGCTCATCCCGTGGGATGTAGGTGTACCACCAAGCCGCCCAAACATTTGGGTGTCACTCACTAACCTTACTCTTCCTTCCCCAGCGGCGAAGCGATCGTTCGACGACTCGCGGCAGAGGGCTATGCGGTCTGCGTCAATGACGTCTCAGCCAATAAGTCCGGCATCGACAAACTCGTGTCCGAGCTCAACTCCAAACACGGCTCCGGTGCTGCCATTGGTGTGGTCGCCGACGTAACCTCCTCGTCGGAAGTGCAGTCGATGATAAAAGAGTCGGTAGAGAAACTCGGTCCCCTGACAGTCATGGTCGCGAACGCCGGCATCGCGCAGGTCGCGCCAGCACTGGATATCTCGGACGCAGACGTCCGCCGAATGTTCGACGTGAACTTTATGGGGGTGTGGCTGTGCTATACGCATGCGGCCAGGCAGATGATCTCGCAGGGGCCGGTCCCCGAGGGCAGCAGTGGGTACAAGATCCTGGGTGCGGCGAGCATCGTCGCCTTCAAGCCGTTCCCGCTCCTGTCGCACTACAGCGCGTCAAAATGGGCGGTGAGGGGCCTCACACAAGTGTTTGCGATGGAGATGGCCAAACACAAGATCAACGTCAACGCTTACGCGCCGGGCATTGTCGGGACGGCCATGTGGGATCTTATCGACGAGAAGCTAGGCGAGATCGAGGGGAGACAGAAGGGCGAATCGGTCAAGAAGTACAGCTCGGATCTGACGGCGTTGGGCCGCGTCAGCGTCCCAGAGGACGTCGGGAACGTCGTCGGTGGGTTCATGTGCTCCAAAGACGCAGAATTTGTCACGGGTCAGACCATTGTCATTGACGGCGGTATCGTGTTCACTTGAAGCTTGTGCTTGAGCTTGAGCTGCACAACGACCAGGCATTGAAAGCTTTGCGGGTATTCGGTATCTTTGTATGTATACCCACTGCCTCGCCACTGTTGGTGTGGTGTTTTCAGAAAGAAAAGTGAAAGATAAAATCCCAGCCAACACAATGAGAACAAAAACGGACCTGTTCCTCGCTTCAGCGACCTGACCTGTTTCCCCATGATGATCATTACCCATGTCCATATTGCAACATGCATCCCATCCACCTTGTCTGTCTATCTCCCGTCAAAATGAACTCACAAACACCGCTCCATGCCGCCTCACTTTCCCATTCCTATTCCCCTTTCCCTCTCGCTTTCCCTGTCCTTATCCATGCCTGCCACGGACACAGACACGAACAGGAAGGCAGACAGGCAAGCCTATCCAGGATGCCCCGTACCCTGCTTCGGCGGATACACTTGCCCGGCAACCTCGACCGTGGGTTTACAGGTGCACCAGGCACCCTTGGGTATCGAGTCCATGACGCTGGGGATGTGTCTTCCGCAACCCCACCAGGTTGTCTTCTCTGCTCAAGGCGTCAGTACGGGTGAAAGAGAGGTTCGGGGCGGAGCGGCAGCAGGGCGCAAAGGAGATAGATATTGGTTTGACACAGAGCCCAACACAAGGGCGGTCAATGGAGGACAGGGAAGAGGGGGGGTGTCTTGGATCTATGTAGGGGAAGGAGGAAAAAGAGGAGGGAAGAGAAGGGGTGCGTTCCACAGAGATGAGGCCATGAGAGGGTGATGGTGGATAGAACGGGCGGAAAGGTGACTTGGTGACTTACGACAAGTAGGACACGTTCTCTGCATGCACATCTTTGTCAGTGTATCTCGTCGTCGTCTCCTACTCAGATATGTATGTATTTGTTTGCTTTCCCTCGGCTTCCTTGGTAGACGCTGATGAATCTTCCTTTGTCGTTTACTTGTCGACGTTGCTTGCGGGTCTCGAGTATCGACTGAGTTGAAGATCTTCTAGGTTCGGCACGCCGCAAGGGGGGGAGGAAAGCGTGACAGATATATAATATGATGATGATGACGAACCGAACTAGAACATATGTATCTGTCCGGCCGGGGACCAAACAAGCAAATTGAACGGACGGACACCACTCTACATACTCACTAGGTCGTACTATCTCGTTGTTTCAAATACATATGTCCGGAAGATCAACCCACGGATGGCACCAGAGAAAAATCAAAAAAAACCACTAAAAAACTAATCTGCAATACCCAGCATTCCCTTCCCCCCCCTGAACCAGTCATTTCTTCCGTTCGGGGGAGGTTTTATTCTGGCCCCTCCTTTATGCCCTAGACTTCCCTTGCTGTGTAATTGTCATCGGGGACCTGCTTTCTCAGCAAAGGAAGGCCGGTCGCCCCCCTGTGGCCAGAGGGGAGGGGAGGCGAAAGAGGGATGGGACGGAATGGGGGTTGGAAAGGTCAAAGAAGCACAGCCCACGGAAGGTCGAGGCAAAACAATAACAAACCGAAAAAATAACAAAAACAAAAACCGATTACTCAATATCAATCAGTATTCAAGACGGGCCGAGCTTGGGAGAGCGCTGAGAGAGAGAGAGACAAGAGAGCAACCACCACCACCACCACACCACGGAATGCATTTCCCTTGCGTCCCCTTCACGCCCCCTTGCATTGAGGAAGTCAAAATCCCTTCACCCTCCTCCACCCACGTACCTACCCACGGCTTCCCTTTCCTTTGGGTCCTTTGGGGGCTTGGAAGGGGAGGATCCGACATTTTTTTTACAGTTCGAACGAGGGCCGACATCCCCGAACGGACAAGGTGCTGATTCGTCGACGTCACCATCCGCCCATTTCGAGGGTTACCGAGAACCATTGCTCTCGGACAAGTCTTGGCCCGGCGCGGCCTTGGGGGGGAGGGCAACAGGAGGGACTTGGGAGACCCCACTAAAAAGAGGGAACCGGCGGTATGGTTTGGGAAATGCAAAAAAAGGGTAGACCCCGAGGTCGCCGAGGGGGAGGGGGGGTGGGCGGTGGTTGGTGGGTCGAATGAAGCGATTCCCAAGAACAAACAATTCTGCACTATTCAAAAAAGAGAGAGAAAGGTCCAAGGGGGAAAATGGGAAACAATAGTCGAGATATACTTCTACATAAGCGAGTCCCACGACTCGTGGCGCATTAGAGCACCGATCCGTCGGGGTCATGTAGTCATCGTGGGTATCGTAAACAGCAATCAGATGCGCTCAAACCATGCAGATCCTCCACGACAACTCGTATATCTTCGGAGGACATGTCGACTTGTGCCGTTGTGACCCTGCGTGGTGGTGTCCACGCAGCCCATGTCTCCCACTCTGGTGGCCGTCTTCTGCTGCGCCTTGAACGCCGTGCGTGCCTGTTGAGCTGAACACCGACTGGGGACTCGGGGTTACGAATGCCAACTCAAACCGAACCAGAAAAGCGCGACTGCCGTAATAAGAATCGTCGACCATTGCGTCTTCTCACCTCCACTGACGCTCTGATTCGAGTAGACGCATGCCCATCCAGAAAATATCCCCCCACTGCTGCCACAGCTCAGGGGCCGCAGAGGTGGTTCCGAGACTCCATTGAACTGACACTTCTGTGTTGACCAGTCGGCCGAGTCCAACCAAAGCACCCAGCCAGCGGGACAACACGTTGCCCACGCCGAGCTGTCGCTGTTCTGTTGCAGAATGAAGCAAAAGTTTTGAGGGCAAAGCGAGTTTGTGGATGGGTCAGGGCAGGACGCTTGTCGCGCAGCGATTGCACCTGTCCCACTTTCTGTGCCGAGGATATTGATCTGAGATGTTGATGCGGATATGTTGAGGTACTGAACTGAGGCTGCGGAATCCGCCGGATGTCCGTCGAGGCTGTGGACGATGGGGTTTGTCCACACTGCCAACGGGGATAAGAAAAGGGCTATCTGGATTGTAGACAGAAATCCGACCATTGCGACGTTGAAGTGATGCCTTTGGCGATAATGCGCAGTCTAGAGAGAGGCATTGACCTGATATCCCCATGGGTTGGGATGGTCTGATGCGAGAAATAGTCAAAGTCGGCGGCTGGGATGCGCACGGATGCGGTATCGGGGCGCGGGTGCTGACTAAGACATCAAGGTTCGCTTCGTGCCACAGACGTGATCGGATTGGTTCGTTAAACTCTCAGCCTTGACCAAAAGAAAGCCTTGCGCCTCACATGAGCCTTGCCTGGATCTGCCGGACATCGGGTGATACAGCCTCTGCAGACTTCAGTGTGAGCACCGCTGCTTCTTGTGCGATAGGCAGCATCTCCTCGAGCGTGCGACCCTTCGCGAGGCCTGCGACGATAACACCCAACATTGTGTCACCAATGCCATTGACAGAGACTATTTCGTCCTGTTCGACTTCAATAAACGGCGGGATCAACCGCATGTACAAGCCGCCGATCGCAGAGTCGTGAGACAAATTTCTCGACAGCACATATGGGGCGCTCTCTGGCATCGTGAGTCTTGGATCACCGGGTCTCAGCAGGCAAGCCAAGAGACACCCTTTATGCCCAAGCTTTGTCACCAGGTTTGGGATGAATGGGAGAAGCTGGATGCACTGTTGGGGGACTCCACGTTCGACCAAGTCAAGGCCTGCAACAGAAATCAATCGATCCCGGGAACCCGAGCCAGCGAGGCCGAGGCTGTCGATAGTGTTCCACCACTGCTCCGATTCGAACATCAGCGCATTTCTGGCCGCGTTGTAAATTGCTGTTAACTCGAGTCTGTTGGGAGAGGCGAGGCTAACAACGTGATCTGGTACGACGTTAGCGCTGACAATGGCAGAGTTGTCCTTGTCGAAAAGACGAGCAGCTTTGGCGATGGAGACGGGCTCAAATGCAACCAGGGCTTGGTGGGCTTTCGCAGCCGTCAAGATGGATGAGAGAATGGCGGGAGACCAGTTTGCGTCGACAACCACCCACTTTGGCTTGCTTTCGCCCATTTTCGCCATCCAGTACTCTGCCGATTCGAGTTCTGGGCGACCAAATATTGACATATCTGCCATGGCAAGTACGAGATCTTTGTTTGTGTCGTTGACAGCGACGTATTGTGCTGTTCGTGCGCCGTCGTTGGTGGAAACACGTCGGATTGCCGTAGTCCCCAGACCGCACTTCTCAACGTGGTCGAGAAGGGACACTCCAGCAAGGTCGTCTGCCACAACACTCGCTAGTGTGACTTTTGCACCCGCTAGATGAGCAGCCATGGCAACATTACGGCCGACCCCACCCGGCGACTGAGAGATGGCGGACGGATTTGATGTGTGAAGCGTTGGAGTGTTGGAATCTGGTGTGATTTGCAGTGGTTGATGATCACATATTGTATCACTTGCGAGGGATCCAGCAACCAGTATATCCACTGGCTGAAAGGACTGTTGAACGGTGGCATGTGCGGGATCTGCTGGGCCGTCCGCGCCTCTTTGAGGGCTCTTTATAGATTTGGCGAAACTCCTACTGCCGATGACCTCGCTGGCATCCTCTCTAGATCGTGTCAGCAAGTGCCTCGTCTATCCTATCAAAGGTCTAACTTGGCTCACCGCTGAGGCGCAGCTCCGCCCCGTCGCTCGAGCTTCGCCAGTTCGACGGCGACTTTGGTTCCGCGGATGACGTTCGCCTCAATCAAAGCCTCATTTGCCCGTACACTCCCGCCCTTACTCAACTCTCGGATCCGCTTCAAGATGTAGGGGGTGTTGGCACTTCCGCCAATGCCCTTCTCTTCAGCTTCAGTGACCGCTGCTGCAACAATTGAGTCAATCTCTTCCTTTGCCATTGCAGATTCCTCTGGGACAGGATTGGCGAAGAGCAATCCTGAGTGAAGAGGAAACCCCTGTTGTGCGTAGATGATCGCCGCGGCGTCCGCCTCATCTTGAATGGTCTTTGGACTTTTGACGCCGCTGTCGCGGGAGAAGAAGGCAGGGAAGTCGACGTCTCCTTGCCGGCCATCTGCAAAGGTGCCCACACCCACTCCTTGGGTCT